CGCTAACGATCTTCCTTCTATTGTCCAGCCGGTATCTCCAGATTCCCACGTCTCCACGGGGATCCCAAGCCGGGCAGCGGGAGCAGCTCCGGGGCGGCCCTGGGAGCTCCTGGGAAAGGCGGCCGGAGGCGGGAGCGCGGCCGGGCTGCAAGCAGAGCCCCAGCGTGGGTCCTCGGCCCCTGCACCCCGCGGGCCCCACACCTGGTTGCGTTTCATCACTCCAGTATAAATTGCAGCTGATGCTGCTGGGGCCCCAGTTAGAGGCTGTGAGGCCGAGGGGTGGCTTTGTGCAGGGGGCAGAGCTGGGAGCGGTGGGGCCAGGGCCAGTCCTTGCTGGCTGCCCCTTTCCCTTTCCATGGGCCTCGGCCCCCAAACTCCAGGCACGGGCGCTTTGGATGCAGATGGGTTCTTTCCAGGGGGTGATTTATTGGCTTTTTGGAAATGGGAATGTTAGGATGAGCTTGTCCTGCTTCTGAGCTAAGAAGTTTTTTTTTCTCCAAACTACAGAGAAAAGCACCCAAAACCAGAGCTTGATGAACACTTGGGAGCAGCCAGGGTGCTGCATCTGCTGCAGACACCTGGAGTCCCCTGGCAGCTCCTCGCACAGCTGAAGTGAAGCAGAATTGTTTTTTTGGGAATTCTGCAGAGTCCACGTGCTCTCCTTTGCCTCCCCAGAGAGGAACTGCGGACCAGGAGGGCCCAAAGGCTGGAGCTGTGGAAAAGCAAGCTTTAAGCTAAAAACAGGCTTTTAACAAGGTTCTGGGGCAGCATGAGGCAGCAACGGGAGCTGAAGTGCTACTGCCATGCGTGACGACCTCCAGAGGGACCTGGGAAGTGCCAGCCTGCAAAAATCCCAGAGAGGCAGGAAAAAGCTGGTGCAAATGGTGATGGAGGAAGACTCGGGCCCCATCCAACCCCCGCTCACCCTCTGCTTTATCGAGCCGCTTCACGAGCAGGCGGCTGGGCGCTCGCTGGCAGCCGGGGCAGGCAGGAAGAGGCCGATGGCAGCGTTGGTGAGCCAGGCAGGCACGTAGCTGAGCAGCAGGTAGAACAGCTTGGTGCACAGTAGCCAAGTAGCAGCTGCGGGGGAAGCAGGCGAGCAGCACGTGCTCCGTGCCGTCGGTGACCCGTGAGAGCCGGGGGCTGCTCAGTCGGTGCAGCAGGCCAGTGCCCAGCTTCGCCCAGAGGCGCCCCAGGGTCTCCGTCAGGCGCTGCGGGTCCGTCATGCCCGTGTGGAAGCTGCCAGGCTCCATCATGGAGACATGCACCCCGAAGGGGCGCATCTCGCGCCTGCAAGGGGAGGGTGCGAGCAACCACCTGGAAGGAGCATCCTGCCAGGGTGCCAACACCCCGGCCCACCTGCGCGGGTGCAAGGCGGGAGCCCTCTCCCACGGGCTGGGCTTTGCAAAGCCCTTGGTCTCTTTGCACAGCTGCCTGCCCCAGCCGCGCTCCCGCTCTCCCAAGCTGCAGGCAGGCACCGCCGTCTCACACCCACCGTCTCACACCCGCCCTCCCTGTGGCTCGATGCCTGTTCTGACGAATGGGCAGAGCATGGTGCAAAGACACCCCTGGGGGAAGGAGAGCAGAGCCAGGCGGCCAACAGAGCTTGGCTGCATGTGACACAGGGACGCGGTGCGGGTGCTGCTACCGGAGGCTGTCAGAGAAGGCCCCCGACTCTGTCAGGCACGCCACCAGCACCCGCAGTCCCCGTGCGTCCAGCTGCCGTGCCAGCAGGTTGCCGAAGCCCAAGTCACAGCCCATGATCAGCACATATTTCTCCATCAGGTTCGGCACCCGCTGCCGCTCCAGGTACCACCGGCGCAGCAGGTACAGCCACATCCTCGCGGGTGTTGCGGAGTTGCACGTAGGGTGCAGAGGAAACCTTCCTGTGCACAGATCGTGGGGACAGGACTCAAGCGCTGAAAAATGCAGCTGTCTAGAGGCAGCCTGGGGATCTGTCCCAGGGCATCAGCTCACCACGATCCCCCAAAGCACCGCATCTCTGCTCGCTGCTTCCTGCAGTGGCAGGACGTGGCAGTGACCTCCAGAGCAGCCCCTCTCTCTCCCCTCAGATCAAGTTCTTGCCGTTCAATATTACTGTTTTTTTTTTTTTTTTTTGCATGTCCTCTAGCCGGACGTGTCTGACCTCTCCTATCCCCCCACCGCAGCATTCCCTCCAGAGGAGCATCATCCTCGCTGGGCTGCATCCCTGCAAGTGCCGCAGCATGAACCCAAACGTTACCTGGGGCAGGTCCTGCCACTGCTCTGCTCCAGCCCAGCCAGACCCTTCTGTGCTGTCCTTGCTCCTTTGGATGTGCTGTATGAATAGGGGGCAGCTTGGGTGAACAACCCCACCTCATCCACTAAAGCAACAGCCGCTGGGCAAAGCAGGTGCTCAGATTGCTCCAGGTAAGTCTGAGGGAGAGGCGGGATCAGAGCAGTCACTGGTGGAAAGCTTTTCATCCCTTAATTACAATGCTCTGGTTGTTTTGCACAGAACATCGTACCAGCAGCTCTGTTTTGGCCTTATGGTTGTTTTTTTTGGCAGAGTGGATCCCAGGGCCTTGCACAACCTGATCCATCTGACCCCTCCTTTGCTCCTCAGTCAACAAAACTTAGCCCCCAACTTTTCTTCCCTCTCGTGCTGGCAGAGCCGCTCCAGCCCCGGCAGCCTGGCCAGCGCACACCTGGATTGCGCGAGCGCCTTTGTCCCCATCCCTCTCTCTGTGCAAGGATGGGGGCACTGGGCTTTTGCCCTGCTGCCAGCTGGAGTCGGGGGAGAAACAGGCCCTTTGGGCTGGCTGTGGCTAAGGGCTCCCTTCTCAGTGCTTTGACTGAGAGGAGTGGGAGTCACTGGGTGCGCTGGAGTCACTGAGCTCTGAGCGGCTCTGCCTGTCCTGACGGCCTGTGCACCGGAGCCATCACCATCCCGGCAGGAGGAAAGCAAAGCTCAGAGGAATCGGCCCAGCACACGGGTGGGTTGATGTGCACAGCCCTGCCTCGAAGAGATTTTCTGCCGTGCTGCTCCCTTCCCTGTGGGCAGGACCTAAACCCTAATAAGCCTCCAGGAGCCTGAGGGAGGTGGATAATCAATGCCTGTTCCCAGCTCGCAGGGAGCTGTGTGGGCCAACGCTTTGCACTCTCCCACCACTTCAGGAGTGAGCGTGCAGCTCAGCTGGGCCTGGGATGGCAGCTCAGCTGGACCTGCAGGGGCAGCACAGCTGGACCTGGGATGGTCACCCAGCTGGACCTGGGATGGCCCAGCTGGGCCCAGGGCAGTGTGGGAGAGGCCACATGTTGGTTCCCAAGCCGAGGAGGCCCCGGGCCACAGCTCCAGTGGTGATGCCAGCACAGAGTTTGCTTGAGCAGGAGAGGCCAAATGGGCTCTGTGTGTTTTCCAAGCTACAGATTGAAATACAAGGCACCAAGATTTGCTTGGGACATCCTAGGAGAGCCAGAGCAGTGAGACTGCTGATGCCTTGGCTGCTGCTGCCCAGCCACCACGCACAGAGAAGAAAGGCTGCTGAGATTGCACACATCTTGCTTTTTTCATTCATGTGTTAAGCCCCAACACCCACCAAATAGGCCAGAAAAGAGACACCGAGGCAAAAGCAACCAGAGCCGCCCCCTGCTGTTAACATACCCTAGGGTTCATGGCTCGTGATGCCATGGTCCTGGGCTCTCCCGCATCGGCCACCGGCGCCCCCCCGGGCAAGGCTGGAAGCCAGGTCCTGCTGGGCCAGGAGTTGGACTGGCCAGTGCAAATGGGTTTGCTAGCAGGTGACAGTTCATTGTGATGAGATGTGCATCGAATAACTGGAAACTCAGTCACTTTTGCAGAGATGCCGGCCCCCAGCTGATATGGCTGGGGCAGGCTGCTCCTGCCGGC